ATAAATCCCATATCTTTTTTACATGAACTGCTATTAAGTCATAGATCCCCCATCTAATATTTTGATAGTTTTTTAATTAAGTTATATTTATCATTACTAAATTTATTCCAATGGTGTCAATAACTGTATTAAGATTCAGAATATCTCCATAGGTTGGAATGAATAGTTTCAGTTATCTCTTTATCCTAATTTTGTCATCAACATATCTGATTATTATACCATCCTCATTTCAGTCACTGATTAAACTTTGGACATGACAGAACCAATTAGAGTCTCCCAAGATAAAATCATCTATTTATTAATTTACCATCATCATCAACTATATAAAACAAACTGTCATAATCCAGCTACTGACATTTGTTCTCACAGCCTAAAGAGATATCAAACTACAATACAGCATTTATAACATGGTATTATAACACGCCTTTTAACCTAGTAGATGGTAACAACTTGTGAGACAAACTTGCATTTTATTCTTCTGGGTCTTCACAGTGATCTAACAACTCATTCAGTATTTTTTTTTTTTTTTTTTGAAGATTAATGTGTAAATAAGCAAAAGCCCAAAAGGTAGATAAGAAAATAAATAGCACAAATATGCCCTTCAGATAAGAATTCATTCTAATTTCTTTTGGAATAAACTTAAATTACATAGATTTATAACCAAACTTTTTGTGGAGTTGAAGCTGACTTAATTTTATTCTTAATAATTTTCTAATATAAACACATACACCTGTAAAGTCATAAACATATGGAATTTCCTAAAGATAATACAAAAAAGAAAGATTTATACTCTTCGAGGAGAATTTTGTTCATGTATTGTTCTTTGGGTGCATAATATTTGATAATCCCTGCAATTTGCTGCTTGAAAATATTTTGCCAAATAGCTGTACTCTGATATTTTGAATAGCACACATTTTCTACTACCTTAACATCTATTTTTTTTGTTTTAGTAAAATATAAATTATTCATTCTTGTTTCACTTTAATTATTCTTTGAAATGAACCTACCGATGGAAACTATCCACCATTTTTAAATGGACACGGAGATCTTTTTTTGTTAGATGATCTAACATTCTTGCATCTACCAAGCATTCCATAAAGTAACTTCTGTATTGAGGTAACCCCAGACTGGGAAGCCATTCATTTCCAATCCACTCATGGTTCATATCTCCATAAGCCAGGGTCTGTAGAAAAACCGGACACTAGAATTGTTTTATAGCAGTCAGGTTTCTTCACCAATAAAATGAGATGGTAATTGGAAGATATTACGTATTATTATATTTAATTAGTATGCTGTGTGGAAACAAAGCAGATAATACTTAACCTGTAAGTACTTGATTTACAGGCAGTCCCCAGATTAGGAATGAGTTCT